ATGCTACAGTATCACCTGAGGAGTTTCCTTCACCAGTCCAAGCAGCCTCAGTGTTTCTCAAGTACAGTCCTGCTTGTTCACCATGAGAGTTTTGTCAGAGAAATTGAGGTTAATTTCCATCTTTATAGGCCCCAGAGCCACCCCAGCCCCCTTCTCTCTCTTTCTGTCTGTTATCCCTCCTGGTTGTTGGAGCAGTAATTAGCCAGGCTTTTGGTTCACATGTAAAAGGGACAGGTCCCTAGAGTGACAGTGGAGGGAGAGAGAGCTTTAAGCTAATCCATTCATCAGGACTGAAGACGAGTATGCCAGTCCAGAAACCGGAGGGAGAAGGAGAGTGAATTTATCTGCCCTAATGTCTCACATATGTGGATTGCAGCTCCTATAATATAATGATATGTTTGTGAATTTAAATGTTGCTTGCAAACCATTTCATCTACTACTTTTGAATAACTGCTGACTGCTTCATGCTAACCTGCTAAACCTTGACCTTTTGGTTTTTGTGTATGAAGTATGCTGAAATCCAAGATGCTGTTATTTTTTTTAAGCCATTTCTCTGTCTTCTCTGTCAAGATTAGTAATCACAGGAACGTGAGCAAAGAAAACCGCAGTAGCTCAGCTGCTACTAGAACTACTAGAAGGAGACTTTAATGATCATTATGACATGAAAAGGCCATTTTCACCACTCAAAGGCAAACAAACACATGATGCACTGTGCATTGTTAAAGCATATAACATACATTTAATTTCTCATTATTATTATTATTATTATTTAATATTCCAGTACAAATAGTAAAACACTGAATTTTTACTGACAGGCAGTATTATGACTTATTCAGATTTTAATTTTTTTTTATGTGTATGTTCCTCTTTGTCCTTTCATAGTAATATTCAGTTTTTGCATTTTGCTAATTGTTTTGTTTGGCTAGCTTTCAGTTGGATTTTTGGAAAAAGTCTCAACAAACTAAAATATTAGAAGATATTTCTATTTGGAATCATCTTTAAGTGAAGCACTATGTATAATACAGTAAAAGTGTCATTTGCACAAAAGATGGCCAAAATATCTTGTGTATATAGCAGACAATAATTTATGCTTTTTTTGTTTTCTACCAGACTACATTCTTTTGCATCCTTATCTTGCTGAGACAGCTGTTACCCTGTAACCCGTTCTTCCTGCTAAGTATCATCTAAGGAACCGCTCAGATGTTTTTGTTGGACAGTTATTTGTTTAGAATGGCACCTTTCCCATTTCTTCTCATGCACTCGCATTTGTAACTTTTTTCCCATCTGTATACATATTGTCCTCTTATTTACTTTCTTTCCTGTTTTCACACTGTCTTTTCTTCTGTTTTTTAAGCAGGCTTTGACTCATCTTCTCAGTGAAACACTTATGGCAGTGATTCAGAGAGAAGGCACGCTGAGTTTCTGTTCCTTATTGAGGCGTTTCAGCCAAATGCTGCCGAAAGAAGGGGTAGTTTGGCACTCTACCAACATACTAAAATACCTTACCCCGATCACCTCAACCTACACGCCTCACACATACTCCAATTTTCTGCTTCTAATGTTCCATGACTAAAGAGGTCCCATCTGTGCTCATAGCGCCTCAATATTCTATTTTTTGGTTCACATGTAAAAGGGACAGGTCCCTAGAGTGACAGTGGAGGGGGAGAGAGAGCTTTAAGCTAGTCCATTCATCAGGACTGAAGATGAGTGTGCCAGTCCAGCAACCACAGGGAGAAAGAGTGAATTTATCTGCCCTGATGTCTCGCATATGTGGAATGCACTACTTCTTTTGAATAACTGCTGACAGCTTCATGCTAACCTGCTAAACTTTGACCTTTTGGTTTGTATGTGTGTGTATCTTTTAGGCACTGATTTGAGCCCACGGCCTTTGTTTAACGGTTATTGTAGAAGCTAACAGTTACAACAGGATTCAGAGCAAGCCAAGTGTGGAGCGTGATTTCCGACTGATCAGTATGCTGAAATCCAAGATGCTGTTATTTTTTTTAAGCCATTTCTCTGTCAGTTGCACAAAGATTAGTAATCACAGGAACGTGAGCAAAGAAAACCGCAGTAGCTCAGCTGCTACTAGAAGGAGTGGGAAGAGACTTTAATGATCATTATGACATGAAAAGGCCATTTTCACCACTCAAAGGCAAACAAACACATGATGCACTGTGCATTGTTAAAGCATATAACATACATTTAATTTCTCATTATTATTATTATTATTATTTAATATTCCAGTACAAATAGTAAAACACTGAATTTTTACTGACAGGCAGTATTATGACTTATTCAGATTTTAATTTTTTTTTATGTGTATGTTCCTCTTTGTCCTTTCATAGTAATATTCAGTTTTTGCATTTTGCTAATTGTTTTGTTTGGCTAGCTTTCAGTTGGATTTTTGGAAAAAGTCTCAACAAACTAAAATATTAGAAGATATTTCTATTTGGAATCATCTTTAAGTGAAGCACTATGTATAATACAGTAAAAGTGTCATTTGCACAAAAGATGGCCAAAATATCTTGTGTATATAGCAGACAATAATTTATGCTTTTTTTGTTTTCTACCAGACTACATTCTTTTGCATCCTTATCTTGCTGAGACAGCTGTTACCCTGTAACCCGTTCTTCCTGCTAAGTATCATCTAAGGAACCGCTCAGATGTTTTTGTTGGACAGTTATTTGTTTAGAATGGCACCTTTCCCATTTCTTCTCATGCACTCGCATTTGTAACTTTTTTCCCATCTGTATACATATTGTCCTCTTATTTACTTTCTTTCCTGTTTTCACACTGTCTTTTCTTCTGTTTTTTAAGCAGGCTTTGACTCATCTTCTCAGTGAAACACTTATGGCAGTGATTCAGAGAGAAGGCACGCTGAGTTTCTGTTCCTTATTGAGGCGTTTCAGCCAAATGCTGCCGAAAGAAGGGGTAGTTTGGCACTCTACCAACATACTAAAATACCTTACCCCGATCACCTCAACCTACACGCCTCACACATACTCCAATTTTCTGCTTCTAATGTTCCATGACTAAAGAGGTCCCATCTGTGCTCATAGCGCCTCAATATTCTATTTAGAAATATAGATGGCATCAAAATGTGATAGTTTGTGTTGATCAGACATGAAAAAATTATTTTTTTTGTTACTGTTCTTATATTACTTTGTTGTAGGTTGCCCTATGTGATGATTTTCTCTCTAAAGAAAATGTCATGTACATTTGTTTTTACTTTAAAAGAATCTTGTTCTTCATCAGTATCTGACTTTTCCCTCAAAAAATATTATATGAACGTCAGAACACTTCAATTTAACAGAGAAACAATACTACATAAGATAATAAAATGTTCAGAGAATGTATTTAGTGCAGGACTCAGCAATATGGAGGGCCCGATGGCCCAGGGCCAGTGCAAATTTGGAGTTAGTTACTGTGTTGAGACTAAGTCCCTTGTTTGATGATTGTGTATATTTGTTTTATGCCTTGCAGATTTAAACATTTGGCTTTTTGTAATGTGTTGAATATTGCTGTTGCTAATTATACTGATTTAAATGTCACCAATGTAACATCATTATTATTATTATAATATAAAGAGGCGGTTTTGCTGAGTGCTTTGTGATCTACTTCAGTTAGAATGCTTAGAATATTTAAAAACAAATCACCATATGCTATCATTTTCCAGCAAGTGAGTATTTTTTATTTTTTTGCATTTATAACTGTGATAGTCATTTATTATAGATGCAGTATATTGGAAAAAATTCATAAATACTAAAATAATTCTTACAAAACAATACATTGAATTTAAATTAATTTTAAAATGTATGTATTATACAAATAAAATATAAATATAAGTATTTGTAAAAAAAAATAATTTGTGTAAAAATCAAACATTTTTAATCATTTGTGATGGGGCCAGAAATTGTTGGTATGGAAAGTAGAAATCTGAACCATTGGACCAGTGGGAGAAAAATAAGCATGTTGTGCCCTGAAGTGTTTTTTTTTTTTTTTCCTTCACAGTTTTAATTTTTGCATATTTTAAGCATAAAGCTCACTACATGTATTATTTTATTATATAAAAAACAGATGTTTTTTTGACTTTCAATTATTGTAATTTTACTGACTTTTTACAGGCTGCCCTTTCGTTTACTGATCAATAGTGGTACTTATTTTTTTCTCATGTGTTCCCCTTTGTCCTTTTAATTTCAAGTTTTTGCATTACCACATGAAATGCGCTCCAGTGTGTAAGAATCAGCTAAATTTGTTTGTTTGGCTAGCTTTCAGTGGATTTTTTTCAGTTCTGCATAACTTTCCCCTTCACCGGAGACATGCTTCGATTTAAACACATGACTATTAAGAGAAAAAGAGGGAGCGAGTGACACGAGCAGAGCATCCACACTCATAATGCAGCATAATCACTGGAAATTGTACTGTGCTCCATCTGAATACCGCCCTTTTCATAGATAATGATACCATGTTTGTGTCTCTTCCATGAAAAACAACCGAATTAACAATTTTCATCGTAGTGTAAAAGCATTAGTAGCCTTTCTGCTTCACTACCTAAAGGCATTGTGTGAGATGGTACAATGGCTTTAACTTTATTGTGCACAAATTGTAGCTGTTAACTGGGGCATTGACAGGCACTATTATGACTTTTATCAGCACAGATATGAGGAGAATATTTGTGAGGCGATGATTAAATGACAGTGAACTTCATCTGACCTTGATCATATTTCTATCTGGAGGAAAAATTTCCAGTCTATTTTGTTTCACTAATTACAATATATTCACTTTAGCTTTTTGTAATGTAGGTTATTACAATACTCGATCCGTTTTTCCACAAGGGCCTTCTAATAGCCCCTTATAAATGACAAATACAGTTATGATTGATATGCGCTATGTGGTTTTATTCATAAATGTGCAATCTGTAATATTTTTTTTCTTTGTAAAGCCTAGCCTGGTTTCATGTTCATGTGTTTGTGTTTGTGTTTGTGTTTGTATGTGTGCAGGTCGAGCTCTGATGAGGCTCACTGACAGGAAGTTGGAGCGTATGGGCATCATGCAGGAGAGTCAGAGACAGTACATACTACAGCAGGTCCTCCAGCTCCGTGTCAGAGAAGAGGTCCGTACTCTGCAGCTGCTCACGCAAGGTACATACACACAAACATGTACAGCTATGCTTGGGAAGCCCTCCATAGACTTCTAATGTTTTTAAATTAAGCCAATTAGGCTTTCTTCACTTTAACCCTGCCTGTTTTATGAAACTTTTATTTTATAACTGCCTAGAATGTGTTTAGTTAAGCATATATAGTAATACTCTCTGTCCCGTCTTGATCTTGTTGAGGGTCCCCACACTCATTGCAGAATTGCAATTCAAAGAAACTCGTATAAGAGTCATTTTAAACTAGAAAAGCAAAGTATGTCAAGACCGTTTTTAAACTTGAAACTTATCGTTTAAAAAGACAGACAGATAGATAGATGGATAGACAGATGGACGGACAGATAGATGGATGGATGGATAGATGGATAGGAATCTATTTATCTATCTGTCTCCAGGAAAGCTCTTTTCATGCTGAGCTAATCAAAATGGCCACAGCTGATCACAGTTGAAAGTCAAATGGCTTTGTGTGCCATTGAGAAGGTGATTAGCTATACCTGGTTGAGTTCACAAGTAATTTTTAGGAGGGAGTGATTTTTATTTTCTGACATGTTGGTGTTTTATCTTTCACTTGGATGTTAAAAGTTGCACTGAGTAAATACAGCTGGATAAAACAAAAACTGTGTTTAGGTGCATCCCACCCAAATCGTGTACTTATGCACCATTCTATGACGTTTTTTATTATAAATAGTGTGAGTAGTGCGTTCACACTGAAAATTCCAAAAAGAAAAGGTGCACTTTAAATACCCAAAGTGTGGAATGTTGAACACTTCATGCACTCAACTGTCGCAGCTTTAATTATGTAGCGAAGGGGGAGGGGCTATCAGACTATAAACTATAAACTGAGTCTGATAGCCCCTCCCCCTTCGCTACATAATTAAAGCTGCGACAGTTGAGTGCATGAAGTGTCCAACATTCCACACTTTGGGTATTTAAAGTGCACTTTTTCTTTTTGGAATTGTTCTAAGTATCTATCTTTTTGAACTCATGGTTGAGTACATAGTGCATAAGTACATAGTGTATAGTGTGTCATTTGGGACGCAGCTTCTGTCTTCATTTCAAGCTGCAAAGCAACAAAATGTAATTATTTTAAAGGGGGGGGATTCTTTTCTATACCCACTGTATATTATGTCACACTTAACGCTTCTCTAGTAAGTTTCGTCTGTGTGTGAAGACGCTGCAGGCAGTGACGAATCACAAATCCGTGAATGAATGTTCCTTCGAAGTTACTTCGAAGTGAAGTAAACTTCAACAGATTTCCCATGTGCAGGGAGTAGGGAGCAATGAACACTGCATAGGGACCATGTAAAACGGAACACAGTTCATGCATGGAGCTCTCTTCTAACGTGCTGGTGATTTGAATCGGGTGTGTTAAACAAGAGAGACATGCAAAATATGCAGAGAAGGGGGTCGCGAGGACTGGAATAGGGAACCACTGAGAATGGATGAATAGATGGATAAATAAATGTATAGATGCATATCTGTATAGATGGATGGAAATAGATGGTAGACGTTATTGCTAATTGAAATGAATGAAATGTAATCATAACATAACTTTACCCATTCAAATGGATAGGAGCTGTAAAACATGCCTCACTCAAGTTCATCAGGGTTCAGAACGGTTGACCTCCATGTTTACTGGCTAAGCATTCCTTAAAGAGAGAGTTAGTGATTGAAAAGGAGAGAAAGAGAGGTATTATTTGGTAAAGGCCCCAGTTGTTGCTGCTTTTTTTTTTTTTTTTTTGGTCTTCTTTCTGATATGAAAACTAAATTAAACAATGACGTGCATGGGAACGGAGAGCACACAGATGCTGTCTAAATCAGCCAGAGTTTGCAACAGCCCACTGAAGGACAGTATTTTTAGGGGACTAAAGAGGAGCTGCTGTGCCTTACAAAGTAAATCTAGGCTGAGCATTAGCATTAGCTTTGTTGTCAGAAGGAAAAGGAAAATTTGTAGCTTTGTTCCAGGTTCAATACAACTTAATCTCTGTTGAGCATCTGTTACATGTTGTCAGTTACCCTGAAAATTATATATTTTATGAAATACATTCTCTCTGCAATTCAAGGCAAACATGCTAGTCTTTATAGTAAATGAAGCAAGAAAGAAGGTTTCCAATAGAATCCTAGATGAAATTTCAGAGCTCCTCACAAGTGCACCTGGTAACTCATGTAGGCCACTTGGATACACGCAGTCTGACATTAGCTGCTATCTGCAGCGACTAACAGCTTTTATTGTGTTCTGGCAGTCGGGTATCATGCAGACAGACAATAATTAACCTTTAGGGCTCATTGGACCATGCAGGGAAAATAATTAGATTCTGGCTCCCGTGAATGCCAGAGGGATGGCTGGACCACGAAGGCCTTATATCAGTTACAGTGAACTGGACAGTAACAGCCAGTGTTTTCTACTTCACGTAACTATCCACCGGGCGGAAATCACTGATTGGCTTTCATGTCATGCTATTTCATGCTATTGTGAGTGGGGATTGCCGCAGCACACGTTCAACCAATGCAATATATTACTTTAATGGTAAAAAGTCTAAAGTCATATGTTTGAGTTGTGTTTCACTTCACTCAATAACTGTAATCCTAATGCAGTAAAATATTAAAATAATTTTTTTATTTAAATTAATCAGTATTAGGGCTGCACAATATATTGAAATGAAATCAATAACATGATATGGCTTAGTGCAATTGTCAAATTGTGTCGGCTTCATTTTAATTAAATAAATGTATGCTTTACTGGTTTCAGAGTGAATCATAGCATTTAGATGTTTAATTCATGATTCAGTGTTTCAGCATCTGAGAACATTCGGTTCATTTACTGTGAATCAAGCCTTTAAATATTATGATATACATAAATGTTAGTATTGTAATTTTAGTGTAAAATTTAATTATTTTATGACTCCTTTTTTATTAATTATTTTAGTATTTATTTTTCATAATAATAATAATAATAATACTTATATTAAATAATAATAAAAAATAAAGTTGTTCTTGTAAATAATAATAAGTTGGTTCTTGTAAAAATTAAAATCAAGTATGAAGTGAACACCAACATTTTTCAAGTTTTTCATAAATCATTCAGCCCTAAAAGAATTTCACTCTCTTTAAAAAAAAAATAAAATAAATAAATAAAAAA